GAGCACATTACATGTCATATTATACAAAAGTCTACAGTCCAATGGCACATGTGGCAAAGGCAAAATGAATTAAAATTGTATCTAATGTTTTAGTACTTACATATTTTCTTATATATTCTGAATTTATTCTATGTGATTTTTGAGAGAGAGAGAGAGAGAGAGAGAGGGAGAGAGACAATCTCAAGCAGGCTCCACACTCAGCATAGAGCCCTACACAGGGCTCAGTCTCATGACCTGGGCCGAAGTCAAGAGTTGGATGCTCAACCAACTGAGCCATGCAGGCATCCCATTATTCTATGTGATTTTGACAAAACACAGAATATAGAGAACTTCAGGTTAGATTAAGAAGTTAAAATTCCGCTTAAATGTGTCTTGTTACTGCTGTAAAATGGTTTACAAAAGAGGACTGCTGAGATTGAGCTATCACAATGTCCTACATAAAAATTGCATCTCCTACAATACTGCCAATATTCTAGGACCTTCTCCTTCAGCTGGTAGCACAGGTGATTTAAGGTTGCACCTTTGAAATCAAAATGGTTTCAAGTATCATCTACCGAACATTTGCATCAAGAATATCAGAGACAACTAAAAAAAAATTTTTAAAAAAAGTTTGAGCACCACCAGTCTAAAAGAATCAAGGACAACCCATGCCAGAAACTGAAAATCGGGATTATAATCCACTCACTCACTAATAGAAAGTCATTTTCTTAAGCCTGCCTAAAAATTAATATTTATTATTCATTATTTCTGGATAAAACAGTTACAAATTATTCCATATTCACAGGAAGGGAGGATAACTCTGCTCCCTGCCTCCTGACCAGTGTTTTTAAACTCTCCTTCTCTCAGTTCATTCATCATCCCTTCCCTCAAATTATCACCCCCTCACCTTTCCATGGCAAATGTCTACATAATCTGTGTTCACTGCCTCTTTTTCCTGGAAATGGCCCTCTCCTTCAACAACTGTCATCTAGAGCTCCTACCTTATCATTCTGTGTGACACTGATATAATGCGCGCATAATGCATAAAAACTTACAAAACATTTCAAATACATTATGCTAGTTGATATTCAAAACACTCTTGAAGAGGCATATCTCCTGATTATCTAATAAGGAACCTCAGGCTGAGAGGCTAAGTGACCTGTTCCTATAAGGATATAGAGGAAGTAAGTGACAGCATAATGCCTCCCACTTGGGTCATCTAATGCAAGCTTGGTATTTATTGCACTGCATTATAACTCAGTCTAACACACAAAATTACATTTTTTAAAAAAGGTTTATTTATTTATTTGAGAGAGAGTGAGTGCATGGCAGGAGTGAGTGCGCAGGGGAGGGACAGAGGGAGAAGGAGAGATTCCTCAAGCAGACTCCCTCCCAAGCACAGAGCCTATGTGGGGCATGATCCCAGGACCCTGAGACCATGACCTGAGCTGAAATCAAGAGTCAGATGCTTAACCAACTGAGCCACCCAGGCGCCCCCAAAATCACATGCTTAAGTAACACTGATAAACTAACCCATTGACTGCTAAATCTTATGGCCTTTCCTCCTGAATCATTTGCCAAAAATTTACTGACCATCTAATCACTAGAATTTTATTTCAGCTTGGCTTTCCTCATCTTAACTATTTGATTCTTAACCGCTTGGATTCATTCTCCTAAGGATGCCTCAGACTTAATCTTCTCCCCGTTTCTGCTTCTCCCTCCCCACCCCCTACCCCTTTGGTGGTTGTGGCTTTTTCCAGTAACCTCTCCAAAATGACAAATGATATTTGACAAATGTAAAATGACAAGTTTGTTGAAAATGACTATTTTCTACTTTTCTGACTAGTTCATTTTTTAAACTTTAAGTTTATTCATCCAATACTCCTACTTTACAATAACTATCAAACTAATATTCAAGACAAGTAATTCGCCTTCCTTGATTTCATATTCCAAGGTTGAAATGACATCTGAAATCTTAATACTTTTCTCAGGAATCCTAACAAATAATTTGGGGGACTTCTTCATTCCATGTAGATGTTGTTTTCTATTTGAAGGTTTTATTTTTATTTTTTTCAATATAGCGCCTTGAACAAAAAAACATGCAAATTGTGGCTCACTAGGAAGACAAAGGACCAGTGACTAATTTTTTAAAGTAAAATAACTTAAAAGTCCTTGAAATTGCCTTATATATGGAATATTAGTATAAAAAGATAAACCTAGTGGGCGCCTGGGTGGCTCAGTTGGTTGGCCGACTGCCTTCGGCTCAGGTCATGATCCTGTAGTCCCGGGATCGAGTCCCGCATCGGGCTCCCTGCTCAGCGGGGAGTCTGCTTCTCCCTCTGACCCTCTTCCCTCTTGTGCTCTCTATCTCTCATTCTCTCTCTCTCTCAAATAAATAAATAAAATCTTTAAAAAAAAAAATAAAAATAAACCTAGAGTTTAAAGAAGTTAACTGCATAAGTTTGGGGGGAAAAACTTTTATTATTAATTTACTTTTAAATAATGGAGAAACAGAAAAATTTTTTTAATTCATGTAAAAACAGGCAAAAAGCAGAATAAAAATAATGGATAAAAATGCAATGGAATTAAAAATTTAATTTAAAATTAAAAATTTTATCATTTAAGGGGAAGTAGAAAGGAAAATGTTACCAAGTACATACAAAATTGCCAAATTATACCATGGTACAGGAATAAGAAAACTGAACAACTCCAAGAAATATTTAAGATATCCCCAGAATATACAAATGTTACAAATCTGGAAAACATTCTCATGCTTAAGAGAAATAATTTTTAAATTTATTTTAATTAATTTATTAATTTATTATTTATTTATTTTGGGGGGGGCAGAGGAAGAGAGCCAGAGAGAGAGAATCCCAAGCAAGCTCCACAACTCTGAGATTATGACCTGAGCCAAAATCAAGAGTCAGATATTCAACTGACTGAGCCAACCAAGCTCCTCACCCTAACAATTCAATTTCTAGCCTCTTCTTAGCACCTGCATAGCCCCACAGGCTCCATATAACCATAGGGAAACTCGAAATTTTTATTCCCATGCATTTCCTTCTATTCTTACTAACTGAACTTATAGTACTTCTGCCCCCCTAAATAACATCCTGGGGTATTTTGTGCTTCCCTTCCTCTTGCACTGTATATCTAAAGATCTTATTTGATCAGGAGAGGCTCAGGACTTACATGTCGCTGATGGTGGTTTAAATGTTAGCTCACAAAACCAACACACCCAAAACCTTGCCGCCCCTGGGAAAACTATGACTGATCAAAGAAATGATTACTAAGGAATTACTGAACTCCTCAAGATGGTCAGCCTTTCGATTATCTAAGAGCCTGAATTTGTCAAAACAGAAAACATATTTCTTACTGAGGGATGCACAGAAGCCAACAAGAAGGAATCACTTTATGGCGATAGGCCCTGAGATACATCTTTCTACATCCCAACTGCATACAGGTTAGCCTTACTAAGTATGTCACCTTCATAATAAATACCAAGACATATTTAGGTTACCAGCACAGAGTTTATAACCACAGATGAAAAGCATAAATTTATAATCTACATTAAGCAGTCTTAGCCAGGAATACAGGGAGTCCTAGAATATCCACAGATGAACTTCAGGGGCTCAAAAATTCCCTTATATGACATGCAAATTTATCTGTGTATTTTTCTGGGCAAGAGTGTCCAATGCATTTATCAAGGTGCCAAAGTTGTCCTTAAATAAAGCAAAATATGAAAACCACCTAAAAGGTAAAAGACACAATATGGTATAGAAGAAAAAACTAGTATTAGAAGGTAAAAAGCCAAATTTGGACCTTAGTTCTACCCCTCATTAGCTGTGATACTCAGGTAAGTTGCTTTGCTTCTTTGCATATTCATTCTTAGTCTATAAAAATGGAAAAAGACACGTACTATGAGGATTAAATATAATGTATGTGAAGTACCTCACATAATGCCCAGCAAGTATTGCATTATCCACTGATAATTGCTTTAAGAACACAAAAATGTCTTAAGTAGACAAAATGAACCACAACACATTTAAAATAAACTGCTAGATGATAAAATCTATTTTTCTTCTGAACATAGTTTCATCAAAATATGGATACACTCTGTACTCATATCCTATTGCTGAGACAAATGCACCACACAAAGGTAGTGACTTAAAACAACACAAATTTATTATCTTACAGTTCTGGAAGTCGGGGGGTCAAAATGAGTGTCCTGGGGCTAAAATCAAGATGTCAGCAGGGCTGCGTTCCTTCTGGAGGATCTAGGAGAGAATCTGATCCTTGAGCTTTTTCCAGTTTCTAGAAACTTCTGGCATTCCTTGGCTCATGGCAACATCAACCTTTGCTTTAATCATCATGTCTCCTTTTGCAACTCTAACTCCCTGCCTCTCCTTTCCACTTCAGTAAAAACCCTCGTGATGACACTAGACCCACCATCTAAACCAGGATAATCTTCCCATCTCAAGACTCTTACCAAATCATGACTTTGCTATTTAAAGTAGTATCTCACAGGTTCTCAAGATTAGGACATGACATCACTGGGCATCATTCTGCCCGCCATAAACCCCTTGATGTAATCTGACATTGTATAAATTCTGGTGCTAAAATAAATGGGTACATTTACATCTTGAAATAACAGATATTTGGTAAGCGTCTCCTCATTACTTTAAAATAAATCAGCTTTCTAGAAAAGCCATAAGCAATTATTTCTAGTTGCACCATTTAATCTTAAATCAGCTGTGACTGGCACATGTTATGCTTTCTTTTATAAATGTCAACATCACATCTTACAAATTATTGCTATGTATAACCAAGAGAATGCTTGTCATTTTATTTAGCTTTTTTTCATTTTTCTAAATAATATTTTTTAGACATGAATACTCTCAAGTTTGACAACACAGAAAAATTATGTTTCAAAGAGAGGAATAAATGGTATGTCCCCGTAAGATTTGGTTTTATCATGATATCTACTCATATCTGAGCACAAAATGTACACCATAACTCACCAGTGGTTCTCTATTTTTGACCAGACGAATGATTTTTACTGAGTCTTCTTCTTCGTCAATATCATCAGGCATCGGAGGTAATACAGGATCATAATTCTTCTGAGCCACAGTATCATGTACAGAGAGCAAAGCCTATCAAAGTCAACATTTGGAAAAAAATTAATCAAATATAAAATCCCAAGCACATCCAACTATAAAGAAAATCAAACTGGTGTTATAATTTTGACGTAAGAATGGTGATAGGCAACTACTTGAAAAGGAGGATCTTAGAAATGGGAGTATGTAGGACAGGAGAAGGTGGCACTATTTAGCTGCCATCTCCATCCCCAATGCCACTAATATAGGACAAGAATCAGCATAAAAGTCCTCTCACCTGTATATTTTCTGGTTCATCATTATAAGGGTAGCAGCTGGGGACGGGGTGGGGATTATTACTTTTACTAGAAAATGAGGCTATAGGTAGACTGTTGATCAGCCAGTAGGAGTCTGAGAGAACCGTATTTTTCCCTTCCTCCTGTTAGCAGAAAACACACAAAAAACTGACCAATAATGACTAGCTTTCATTCTTTTCTTGTTTTCTCACCTTTTCATTTTTTGTGTAATAAGATAACTAATTTGTGTATAATGAAAGTTTTTCTAGTCATGACTGTCATGGTGGTAAATCTCCACAAAACACTGTCACATTGTCATTATAGACCAATGACCAAAATAACTCTCAAACCTTGACATATCACTACTATTTTAGGAGAGGGTTTTAGACTTTTATCTAATTTGTTCCCTAATCACTACCACCACAGTCTGTAAATTACTCTAGCCAGAATCCTAGAAATCATCCTTGAAACCAATCTCTCCTCCACCCTACACTCCTGAACACCCAATCCATATCCTGTTAAATCTACTTGCAAAATATATCCTAAATGTGTTGTCTTCTCTCAGCTCTAGACCAGAAGCTGGCAAACGATGCCAGCTGTTTTTGTAAAGGAAATGCTCCTGTCACCCAGTCTTCAATCATGGATGTGTTGTCCATCACTGCCATCATGCTACGAGAGCAAAATGGAGTAGGAGCAACAGACCATTTTTATAGGAAAAGTTCAGAGACATCGATGTTGTCGTGTTTTACCTGGAGAACTGTAATAGCCTCTCAATGGTCCAGCTGCATTCACCTGTGGTCTTTTTTTTCCCAAGATATGAATATCTCACAGTTTCTTTGCCCACTATGCCTCTGAGGAACATTTAGGATGTTTTCAGTTCTTGGCTATTATAAATAGTGCTGCTATAAATATTTCTCATCTTTTAATGCACATGCGCACACACACACACACACACAAACACACAAATGGGGTTAAGTACAGTTGGCCGTTGAACAATATGGGTTTGAACAGCATGAGTCCATTTGTATCCAGGTATTTTTTGAAAAATACAATACAGTCTTATAAATGTATTTTCTTTTCCTTAACATTTTATCTCATTTACTTTATTGGAAGAGCACAGTATATAATACACATAACATACAAAATATGTGTTATCAATATCAGCTATTTGCTATCGGTAAGGCTTCCAGTCAACAGTTGGCTATCCGTAGTTAAGTTTTTGGGAGTCAAAAGTTATACGCAAATTTCTTTTTTTTTAAATTATGTTCGGTTAGCCAACATATAGTACATCATTAGTTTCTGATGTAGTATTCAATGATTCATTAGTTGTGTATAACACCCAGTGCTCATGACAACACACGCCCTCCTTATACACAAATTTCTAACCATGCAGGGAGTCAGTGACCCTAATCCCTGCATTGTTCAAAGGTCAAGTATATTTAAGAGAGAAAAGTCTGGGTTGTGAGTTTCTAAGTATATTCAACATTACTAGATACAAGATGAACAATTTTTCAAAGTGGTTGTCCCAGTTCTACTCCTACCAACAGCTTCCATGAGTTCTAGTTATATCCCATGATCCCCAACATTTTACATTACTAGTTTCAATCTGGCAGTGGTATCTCCTTGTGATTGAAATTTCATATTTTTTATAACCAATGATAGCTTTTTTTGTGAGATGCCTACTCAAGATCCTCACACAGTTTTCTATTCCATCTGTCTTTTTCTTATTGATATGTAAGAATTCTTTATAATATACTGGACCCAAGCCTTTGTTAGTTACATATGCCACAAATGTCTTCTCTCATTTGGTAGCTTCCCTTTTGCTTTCTTATTAGTGCTTTTTGCTCAACAAGGAATCCAAATTTTAATGAGTTTAATTGTTTTTTCCTTGGGGGCTGGTGCTTTTTGTATCTGACAAGAGTTTCAGAGCAAAGGAATGAACAGCCTCAAGATGAACAAATATCTGAAGAGATAATAGCTGTAAATTTTTGACAACTGATGAGAGACTGAGCCTGAAGATTCAGGAAACCCAATATATCCATTAGGAAGCAGGAACAATAAAAAGAAATCCAAGATTAGATACATATCATAGTGAAACTAAAGAACACCAAAGACAGGAGGATCTTAAAAATATCAGAAAAAAAATATGACTGAGAGCTGAGTGATTAGCCACAATGGAAACCAGAAGCCAGTTAAATACCTTGAAAGTGCTTAAAAAAAAAAAAATAACAGCCAGCCCAGAATTGTGTATTCAGCAAAAATACCATTCAGGAATGAGGATGAGAGCCAAGATGAAGTTAATAGGGATCCCACTTGAAAACAGTAACAAACAAACAAAACAAAAACAAAAGATGCAACAATGGTTTGGGAAGACACTGGACATCAGACAATTAAGGACAGTGATCACTGAGAGACAGGAAACAAATGTGAGCCTTGTGAGGCCAGAGTTTCCTGGCCGGGTAGGGGGAGAAGGTACCCAGGCAGAACCCACTGGTCTCCGTAAGTTGAGACAACACAGTGAGGAATGCTGGGAGGTCAAGGAACTAGAGTTCTCAGAGTATGAAAGAAAAGATGGTGACAGGCACAGGGCTCTGGAGATCTGCAGGAGGCCCCCCTTTGAGTGTGCATACAAAAAAACTACCAGAAAGGATGAGAGCAGTGGTTATCAGCTGAGAACAATTTTACTCCCCAACAGCCATTTGGCAATGTCTGGAGACATTTTGGGTTGTCACAGTGTGGAGGATGCTACTGCCATCCAGTTTGAGGCCAGGGATGCTCCTAAACATCTGACAGCATACACGGCAGTTCCCTGCCCTTCACGCCCCCTCCCCCCAGTAATTTTCAAGCTCCATAATGTTAATAGTTCCAAGGTTAAGAAACTGTGCATTACAGGGAACAATCCCCAAAGCTCACACAGGGCAGGAATAGCTCCTGTTTCCTTCAGTCAGAGGGGAAAAGCTTGGCATTCACAAGGCACTGAGGACAGTTAACAAGGGATATTGTCTTAACAGGAGGAAATACTTAATCCAAGATTAAACAATGCTAAGATGTCACCTAACAAAGCTTAAAAGCAAGCCTCCGAAAGACCAAAATATTTCCATGTAACTTAATTACATAAGAGAAAAAAAACTCAACAATATCACTATAAAAATATGAAAATATCCAGCATCAAACAAAGTAAAACTCATAATGACTGAGAGCCAATCAATTACTGACAAAAGTTATGAGGCATGTAAAGACAGAAGAAAATACTACTCATAATGAACAACATAACACCATAGAGCTAAACTCTGAAAATTACACAGATGACAGAATTATATAGAACCAAATCCTGAAATTACAGAGAGATTGCAGACAAGAAAATTAAAACAATTACTATACCTGTATTCCAAATGCTTAAAAAGCTAGAGAAAACACTGAAAATGAGACTTGCCATATATAAGAAAGATTCAAGTCAAACTTCTAGAGATAAAAGATACAAAGTATGAAATTTTTTAAAAAGTACACTGAATGAGATTAACGCTTATAGTTAAAGCAATTTATAAACTACCTAAAATGAAACAGCACAAAGAGAAAATATAGTAAAAACTTATGAACGGAACATTATTGAGCTATGGGACAACTTATATACACCTAATTGGCATCTCCAAAGAAAGGAGAGGTGTTAAAAAAAAAATTTGAAGAAATATGGCATAAAATATTCCAAATTTGATGGGGGGGAGAAAAAGCCCCTAGGTCCAAGAAGTTCAACATATCCAAGCACAAAAAAAAACATAAAAAGAAATAACACCAAACTGCTTAAGACCAGTGAGAAAGAAAAAATCTTAAAATCAGCCAAAGAAAAAAAGCTTAAAATGACAACACATATCAGAAACAATACGAGCTTCAAGATAAAAGAGCAACATCTTTTAAATACTTAAAGAAAACCGGCAACCTAATATTCTATACCCAGCAAAAATATCTTTTAATAATGAAGGGATAATGAAGACTTTTTAAAGACATAAAAAAGTTGAAGGAATTCATCACCAGGAGACTTGCACTACAAAAAATGGTATATGAAGTTTTTCAGACAGGAAGATAGGAATTGACAGTGGATGGGATATGGATCTATATAGAGTTGAATGGAAAACATCAGAAATGTTCACTATCTGGGTATCTATGATAACTATCTTGCACACAGATAAGACTAATAGAGATCACTAATAAACATCTTTTAAAATAAAATGATTATCATAGTTGATAGGCAATACTAACAGCAGCAGCTATGTATTTTTCCTCTTTAGCTTTGTATTCATCTCCATGTCTGGATTCCAAAATATATTTTTAAGATTCATAGATATTGAGTTCCTAATTCTTTAATAGTTTTGCTTTACAAATATATTTGGTTAGCAACATTTTTATTTTGGACAACTAAAAGTAACTCTGTATTCTATTTGCCTGTTTTAACTGTGACGACTTTATTCTTCAATATACAGATTGTCCTTTTGAAAGGCAACACACCTAAATAAGAAAATTGTATTTCCATATGCCATAACCACCCCAATCAGAACTGATGGGTTTACCTGTTGCTCAGAAGACTATGCAGGAAATTGAACACTGGGCCCTATAACTCATCAGGCGCACCGACTTTCACTGCTTTGGACCCCCTGGAGTCAATTCTATATTTTAGTATCTGTCAGGTCAACAGAATTAAGTGTCTAACTCATAAGAATGAGTAACACTGATTTATTCCTCCAGAAGGAAGCTTCACTTTTCCCTTTT